ATTATCCTTGTCTTCTAATGGTAGCCGCTGGGTATCACGACAGCACAAAATATTGAGTATCACGACATCACAAACTTTTTAACCAAGACTTGTGGATACCCCGAATTGTATTGATACGATTTACTAAACGCGACTAGCGAAGGCCCCACGTTGAGCGCCAGTTAAGATATTTAAAGTTAACAAAGTTTTATTTAGTTCTTCTTTGTTTGATTACAGAGCTAAGACTAAAACTTAAAAATTATTTTACTTAAAAGCTAAGCTAAGTTGCACTTCTGACTTGATGTTGTTCTCTGAATTGACTTATTTGGGTTGCGCGTGTTGGACTTCMGCTTCACACCGAAAAATGAGCTTTTATGCTGATGAAAGCGTCTGGTTTTTGCTGTGGGAAATATTGTGCAACTAAAGATGCATTTCCGCTATGCTTTACTCATTATTGCTGATCACGCATTATTACTTTTATTTAGCAATTGTTAACAATTGCCATGTTAACATATATTTTAAAGTGTTGATCATCAAAATTTAAAATTTATATGTAGCTCAAATGCTAACATAACACCGTGATTATCATGAAAGTAGCAAAAAAAGTGTTACACAACACTCTAAGAATTTTTAGAGTTKAGTATATGTATGTAAACAAAGCAAAGGTTTATTACTGTATATACTGAGGCCAAAATCTTCTTGAATAGTCCTTCTCGCAGTGGATTGCTATATATAGCGCATATCCACTCAAGCCATTTTTATTGACACCGTTGAGGCAAAATAGTACGGATTACACTACGGATTAAAGAAAAGTTTCAATAAGTCTTCTTCTTAATTGGCGTAGAAACCGCTTACGCGATTATAGCTAAATTAACAACAGCACACCCGTCGTTTCTTCTTTTCGCTACGTGGCTCCAATTGGATATTCCAAGCGTAGCCAGTTCCTTCTCCACCTGGTCCTTCCAACGGAGTGGAGATCTTCCTCTTTCGGACAACATGACCTAGCCAGCGTAGCCACTGTCTTTTAATTCAATGACGTCATATATCTCGTACAGCTCATCGTTCCATCGAAATCTCGAAATCTTTCGCAGAACTCTTCTCTGGAAAACTAGCAACGTCGACTCATCAGTTGTTGTCATCGTCCAAGCCTCTGCACACTATAACAGGACGGGAATTATGAGTGACTTATAGAGTTTGGTTTTTGTTCGTCGAGCTAGGACTTTGCTTCTCAATTGCCTACTCAGTCCGAAGTAGCACCTGTTGGCAAGAGTTATCCTGCGTTGCTGACATTGTTGGTGGGGTTTACGCTGGTTCCAAGATAGACGAAATTATCTACAACTTCAAAGCTGTGACTGTCAACAGTGACGTGAGTGCCAAAGCGTGAGTGCGACGACTGTTTGTTTGATGACAGGAGATATTTCATCTTGCCCTCGTTCACTGCCAGACCCATTTGTGTTGCTTCCTTGTCCAGTCTGAAGAAAGCAGAACTATCGGCGCGCGTGTTGAGGCCGATGATATCAATATCATCGGCATACGGCAGCAGCTGTACACTCTTATACAAGATTGAACATTCTCTATTTAGTTATGCAGCTCTAATTATTTTCTCCAGAAGCTGGTTGAAGAAATCGCTCGATAGGGAGTCGCCTTGTCTGAAACCTCGTTTGGTATCAAACGACTCGGAGAGGTCCTTCCCGATTCTGACGGAGCTTTTGTTGTTCCTCAACGTCAGTTTACATAGCCGTATTAGTTTTGCGGGGATACCAAATTCAATCATCGCGGTATAAAGCAGCTCCTTTTCGTGCTCTCGAAAGCAGCTCTTTTCAAAGCCACACTGATAAGGCCCAATCAGTTTGTTGACGGTGGTTTTTAATTTTTCACACAATACGCTCGATAGAACCTTATATGCGATATTGAGGAGGCTTATCCCACGGTAGTAGGCGCAGATTGTCGTGTCTCCTTTTTTATAGAATGGGCATAGCACACTTAAATTCCAATCGTTGGGCATGCTTTCGTCCGACCGTATTTTACAAAGAAATTCCTTATCAGTTATTCGCCTCTGTGGTTCAATATCCCGCTTTTTTCGAACTTCTTCATGGTCGGGCAATGGGACGTCTGCTCCATCGTCATCGATTGAGGAATCGGGTTCGCGTTCTCCTGGCGTTGTGCGTTCACTGCCATTCAGCAGGGTGCAGAAGTATTCCCTCCACAATTTAAGTATGCTCTGGGCATCGGTGACTAGATCACCTGTGGGGTTCTACAAGAGTATGCTCCGCTCATTTTTTCGTAGAATTACCCCTGTCGGCCAGCTTATCAAGCTCTTCGTACCCCATCATTTCGGCCCCTTTCTTTTTCTGTCTGCAAATGCGTCTCGCTTCCCTCTTCAACTCTCGGTATCTATCCCATCCCGCACGTGTTGTGGTCGATCGTAACGTTGCGAGGTAGGCAGCCTGTGTTCTTTCCGCTGCGACACGGCACTCCTCGTCGTACCAGCTGTTCTTCTATACTTTCCGAAAACCAATGGTTTCGGTTGAGGCTGTACGTAAAGAGTTTGAAATGCCGTCCCACAGTTCCCTTATACCGAGTTGTTGACGAGTGCTCTCAGAGAGCAGGAGTGCAGGACGAGTAGAAAATCGTTCGGCTGTCTGTTGTGATTGCAGCTTCTCGACGTCGAACCTTCCTTGCGTTTGATGGCGTGCGTTTTTTGCTGCACAGAGGCGGGTGAGAATCTTGGCTGCAACAAGGTAGTGTTCCGAGTCGATGTTAGGACCTCGGAACGCACACACTTCTAAAACACTGGAGATGTCTTCCGTTTATCACAACGTTATCGACCTGGTTGATGGTTTTCCGATCCGGAGACAGCCAGGTAGCTTTATGTATCTTCTTATGCTGGAATCTAGTACTACAGATAACCATATTTCGGGCCTCAACCCATTAGGGGATGTTTCCTCGTTAATGCTGAATTTACCGACCATAGTGCCAAAGATACCTTCTTTGCCCACCCTGGCGTTAAAGTCGCCAAGCACGATTTTGACATCGTGGCGGGGTCAGCTCTCATAAGTGCTTTCCAAGCAGTCATAAAATGTCACATCGTCCTTCTCTTCCATCGGGGCGTGGGCGCAAATCAGCGATATGTTGAAGAACCTAGCTTTGGATGCGGATTGTGGCTAGACGTTCATTCACCGGAGTGAATGATAGTACTCGGCGACGGAGTCTCTCTCCCACCACGAATCCCACATAAAACTTGCGCTCCTTTATATGGCCACTGTAGCAACTGTCACAAGGACCTACTCGTCTCTGTCCTTGTCCCGTCCATCGCATTTTTTGGACGACGGTGATGTCACCCTTTAGATTCTAGAGCATATTGGTTTAACCAATTTCTAACCAACACTAACATACCCCACGCGTTTTTCCATCCGGATGATTTGTAACATTTGTAAATCCCGGTATATTGAAATTATTTTTATTTGTTAGATGAGTTTCTGATATAAGCATTAGGTACATCTATATTTTTTTTTTTCAAACAAAAATCTAATAATCTCTAATTTGTGTTGGTCAACACAGTTAGCATTCCATATACAGATACTTAGTAAGCTCATTGTTTACTCTATAAATTTTGCAGCATTTGATTTTGTGATTTTACTAAATCTTGGATCATGTTTTGCATGGTAGACGTAAATTGTGTCATACATTGTATAAAATTTAAGATCATAGTTTTAATACTTCCTTTCACTAGATTTGCAATGTTTCCTTGCATAGTATTATTCTTAAAAGTAATAGGATGTGAACCTTTATCTGATATTGATATAATTTCATTACAGAGGGTTTGTAACATTTGGGTACAACGTGCTTGAATGCCCTGTGACGACTTCGATTTAAAATATTTATATACAGGACAACCCTTGTAGTTAGCAGTGGGATTTCCCACCCAATTGCTGCACTTTTTATTTAATTCGTATTTTCTAAGGGTGCCTTTGGAAGTGGGATGAAAATATTCATATACCACAAAAATACTGCGTAGAGTGCAATATGATTTTAAAATATAAAGTACATATATGTATGTATCAAAAAAGCAAATTTGTACTTATGAGGATTAATTGCAATTCAATAGTAATTTGATAACAAAATTTAGTCAGGTAGAATCGTCCGTCATTTATACTTACTTAGGCATCTAATTAAAATTTCCTTCTTATTATATATACTTTAAATATAAAATATAGTGTAATTTAAAAATTTATTTTTTAGTCGAAATCTCAAACAACCCATTTTAATTTTTTCGCTAGTCTGTGGATTGAAAAATATAATACATATCGTCCCCTAAAATGCAAAATAAGGTATCATCAAAAAGTTCAAAATTGAGTTTTTTATTGATTACGATTCACCACACTATATTAGATATGCGTCACAAATTTTAAGCTTCTGCGATCAGAAATACCCAAGTTATATTGAAAATTCAAAAAACCTATCATGATTTCGTTAAACAAAATAAATTTGTTTTTTTTTTTAAACGAAGTTAGCTTGATTTATTGTTTATGTTTATTTTTTATTGGTTATCTTAAATGTGCTTTGAAGGGCTGACCAAAGACCGCATGTGGTAGTTCTTTGTGAGGCCATAGAAAAGAGTAACTTCGGTTTTCGAACTATAAATTACCAAAACGTTTAGTAGCCAATGGAAATCTGCATTGGCGTTTCATGAAACTGGAATTGATAGAGAGCTCTTGACAATAGACCCTTCCGGCTCAGTGAATAAAGGCCTAACGAACTAACGCCTAATTTTTAAAAATGAAATAATGCCTAAACAAGAACGCCTAACAAGAAAGTTCAAGAACGTCTAACTTTAAAAATGAAGGAAAGCCTAATTTTAAAAATGAAAGAAAATCTAAATTGTTAGGGTTTCTTTCATTATATAATAACCCCTAATGAAAGAAGACCTGACAATTCGAATGAAAATGCTTACAACTTTAAGAAAATATATTTTGAAAAGAAAATTATGACAGTTCGAGCAAATTTTTAAATGCCGCCATGGCAAATATAATATATTTGGCTTTGMAACCAAACACACTATGCACATCGTGCCTTTACTTTCGCCAAAATAATTGCTTGCTATGTTTGCAACAACAGTCTCGTCGCCATCATCATTTTTATCCGCGCTATCATTATCATCCTCTTTATTACTGTCATAAGGAAGACCCTTCAAAATATGTCCTCATCTGGTTCTACACCAACACAAACTTTACTTTTTTGAAAACCATTCCTTGCAAAAATTCTTTGGGCGTAATTTTTCCCTGCAAGAGTTCATGACTGGCTTCTTCAATCTGACTTGATTTTTGCTCATACACGGTCTTCTTTTTTCTTTGTAGTACCATGGGATCCACCACTGCATATAAGAAGATCAAAATCTCTACTCTTATTAAACTCTTCATCAATAAGAGCTTTAATAAATTTGAAAAAATTTCCATTTCTCTATCTTCATCAATAAGAGCTTTAACAAATTTCCATTTTTTTGAATCATGCGGCCAATAACGCCTTTATAGGAATCGACAGCTGATGTAGTCTGTGTTCTTTTTAAGAAAACCGAAAATACTTCGGGTGTCACCTTCAAAAAAAAAACAACAACAAATTGCTTTTATGATTTTGAAATCTTATAATTTTCCCGTTTACAGAATGTTTCCAAGGTGGTGTATGCATTTTGGAAAACGGAACTTACCTTTCGCAACCATTGCTTTTCATAATAAGTAATGAATGGTGTAAATAATTCTTGCATATTTGTATTCACCAATTCTTCTTTTATGTTCCCAAAAGCCGCACTTATTTGTGTAGCTGGTAACAGAGGTAGAGCAAGGATTTTGTGGTATATCGTAGAGGCATTTTGATTGTTTCTTATTGAAGAAGCCAATTGTTTCCACTTATATGAAATATTTCTCCTTATTGCTTGGCAATAATGAAACCAACAACCATAGATTTTACCAACGGTGAGTTTATTTCTTATTGCCATTTGAAGAATGACTTCGAAATCAGTTAGAAAACTTTTGGCGCTTAATTCAAATACATTTTCATTAATGTATGAAAATATATCTCCATAGTTTTTTTGCAATTTTTTATCCATAAGTATAAAAAGGAATGGAAAGATCTGAAAAGAAGAATACAAATAACGATAGAATTTTATAATGTAAAATATCTATAATATCACATTTTTTATTTTATACCTTTCCGATGTATTCAATATGAAACCTTTCAGAGATTTCAAATGTCTTTGCTGCTAATAATTGTAAACCTCTTTGCATCTGATATTACATAAAGCARTTTTGAATTAATCATCTTGCCAGAAATTATTTCGTAATCCATTTTTAATTATAATATAAATTTCAATGTCCAACACATATGATTGACTTCCTCGTAGTGATAGAAGTTTACCGAATGACAACTGATAACAAAATGCTAAAACATTTGTCTAACCGTAAGTACAACCGTTGGTCTTCAACAAATTCACGCATAATAGCAATAAAAATCACACTTTTAGCAAAATGAAAAATCGAATAACATTAATGAAAAAAAGCCTAACAATCAAAAATGAATAAATACCTAATTAGGCGTTTCTTCATTTTTGATTGTTAGGCTTTCTTTCATTATGAAGAATCACCTAACAATTTTAATGAAGAAATTCCTAAAATGTTAGGCATTCTTTCATTATGAACAACCGTCTAATTCCTATATGCAATTTTTAGGCATTATTTCTTTTTTTTTTTTTTTTTAGGCGTTAGTTCGTTAGGCCTTTATTCACTGAGCCGACCCTTCCACCAACCTTCCCACTATCCGTGAAGAAGCTCGCTGGCCTCTTCTCCAAAGTCTGCTTTCCACCCACCTCACCGGTATATAGGTAGAGAAGGAGACGCCAGAGTTCGGTTTAACTAGGTGATACGGTAGGCAGTCAAAGTGACTAAGGATTTCCGAGTGTTCAGACCCCTGTTCTTTTAGGAATGCAGCAGCCTAATCTTTTGCACTTGTTTAACGATAACCAAAAAGAATGGTAACATCTGTAAGATAATAAATCATAATTAAACATTATCATAATTTCTTAGCTTTTGTACACATTATTATAAATAATGACATGAAATATGAAAAACTTGTGACTGTTTTTATTTAAAATTAAAAAAAATATTAGTATTAAATTTTTTTATTTTTATACAAAATTGGATTGATCATACGTTATTTCGTTTCAGAAATGAAAATTCAAAATAACGTAAGACACCTAATATAAATTTTGCTTTGTTTTGTTTTATCTAAAATATACTTATAGTTTCATGTTACTTCAGATTTGAAAATTTCGTTTCAATATCTCAAGTGGTTTTCTGTACGGTTATTTGCTTCTCCTGTAAACTTACGAAAAGTGATGTTACGTTATTTTGCATTTTTTTTTTTTTGGCGGAAGATCTATGGTCCTATGCGGATGATATGATGGAACGATGAGCTCTTATGTCAATGTCGTCGTATATCTCGTACAGCTCATCAACGGGGAAAACCATTTTTATTAAATTACTTCCATGACAAAGATAGTGAAGGAAACTGTTTAAAGGCAGTATTTAATTACATAGGAAAAAATAAAAGGACTATTAGAATAGGGATACATTAGAAGTGTGGCTATGATTCAGGTTTCAAAGAGCCTATACAGGTAAAGTATATTTAAATCGATAAAGCATAAAAGTGAGGCTCGACCAGCCACATAACTAAATGAAGAAAGTCTCATAACTAGCTCAATTCTGCGAATCCTACAAAAAAAGTCCCTGCCGAATAGAAGAGCCTCTCTTTCTAGAAGAGATCATACAAGCATAAAATAAATATTATATTATTTTTTTATATATGTAAACAAAAAGACAAAAACACTAATTCAAAATGGCTAATGACTCAGGATTAACAGAAGATTTATTTACGTGCCTAATGGCGGAAAGTAATGTATATTATAATTAAGAAAGCAAATTGATAGATTAAGGGCACAAGTAGATAAAGAAGCAAATAGAACTACAGATTATGAAACAGAAAGAATAAAGCACAACATTCAGAATCATGAATCCCAGGATGTAAGAAAATCACTACCACAATTTTCAGGAAAAATAAATACTTACGTTAGTTGGCGAGAAGCAGCTCATAAAGCTTTATTTTTTTTTTTATATTCCTATTCCTATACACCAGAGGAAGTAAAAAATATATCGCAGCTCTTACCTAGAAGTAAACGACACATTAACTGCCAATGATACTCTGTTAAACTTTGTTGCAATAATTGCTCGTTTTGATTTTTCAGTTTCGGACAAACGTCCTATTCACATTATAGAACTCGAAATGTGCATTTTACGAAAAGGCTCTATGTCGGTTATTGATTATTACAATTTAGTTAACAAGAAACTAACACTAATGACAAACCAAATTGTTATGACCTATGGGGGTAACACGTCCATAACCAAAGATCTTAACAAAAAGAATACGGAGCAGGCTTTTCGCATATTTATAACAGGACTCAACGCTCCATTAGGAGACATTATATTTTCCCTTTTGTTTAAATGAGTTAAGCATCTGTCACCTCTACCCGGAAAAACTGGCAGACACTAATACAACACTACTGATGACAGCATACTCATACATCACCACACGACACAACTCACCACACTTCTACATCAATCAACCCACYTCACAAAAAGGCTGGGAAAAAGGATTGCGGACACATTTTTAGTTTACAAACTGCGCCACGTCGATACCTGGCATTCGATCCTCAACATTTCGCTCCGAAGTAGATAGATCCTGCGCGCTACGGTCAAGCCGACATTACGTAATAAGACGAGCCTGCGTGATAAAATCTTTTGGGTTTACTTCTGTAAACCAATATACTGTAACGACATACTTAATTTACAATAAATTAAACACAGTGTAAATATATCAAATTGAAATACGGAAGTTTTATTTTACTCAACGGTATGGTACGTGTGTGACCAGATAATTAAAAATAATAATAATAATAATAATAATAATAAAAAAATAAATAAAAACACAAAACCAAATCAAAAATAATTTACATACATATATTTATGTATCCTAAACTATGGTGACAAAATTTAAAAAAGTGCGGTAAACAAAACAAAGCAAATGCTCAGCAGCACAGTAAATGCACACATAAAACAAAAAAAAAACAAAAAAAAAGGGCAACAAAAACAAAGGTGCAGTGAATTGCCGAAATATATATACAGTGGTGGTCTTATAATTAGAAACGACTTTGCTGCATATAGTTTTCTTAATTCATTTACAAAATGAGATTGCCACATTAAAACTATAAATTGGAACCAATAAAGTAACGCATTTTATTCGAGTTTTACAAAAAAAACAACATGTGCGGTGAATTACCAAATTACAAGATAAATACAAACAATACAAAGCTAAGTATGTGCAAGTAAAAAGCAAAAAACAAAACAAACAAAAAAGCAATCAAGCCAAAAGAGCGCAGTGTGCTACGATTAAAAAACGAAAAGTGCAGTGGCCCAAACAGSAAGAAGAAAATACAAATTTACAAATACATACAAAAAAAGAAACAGAAAACAACACACAGAAAATCGCGCGCGAAACTCTACAACAATATATAAATAAAAACAAAGAAACGGGCGCGAATTTAAATTAAACTAGAATAGATAAAAAAAAAACCGCAATAACATACATACATACTTAGACCAAGAGAACAACCAACTGGAAGCGGAGGAGAAGGAAGTAGCATCAACGGCCCGCAGACACATATGTATATACATACATACATAGATACAACCGCATTATCCCCAAAAACTCTTTTTTGAAAACAAAGTGAGAGTATTATGTCCACTATTTATTTAATTAATGCACATTTGCACGCCTATGCCTAAAATTACAGTCGTAGTTTATATTATACCTGTGATTAAAATCCGTTTCAAAGGCTATTAAAATTTATCAAAAAGAAAAATACCATATTTGCTTTCTCAAAACACACCAAATTATAAAAAAAAAAATTACTTTTTTCAACTCTTACTCCCCTGTTCAAAATAATATAAATAGTATCATTTATATACAAACATACGGCAAAATCTGCCTGTGACACAAAATCTCAAAGGAACAAAAAAACCAAAAAGGTTCGAAACTTACAGAACTTGTGAGAACTATAGAAAATAAATATTAGTACATACTACAATATTTGTACAAACACATATTCTCTTGTTATTTGCCAAA